CTTAGGTAATATTGATCCAATGGTAGCAAGGCTATGTGGGTGACATCGTTAACCTTGGTGGATAATCTGTAGTCTTAGTGGTTTTAGTCTTAGCCTTAGTAGGTGGGAGAGGACGGCCCACCGCTAATGAGATAATGGGAAATCTCGAAAGGGTGACACCAATAGTCCCAAACCTTGTTCATCCCTTAGGGAAGTATGTAGAACTAGCCATTGTGACTTTAATCTTCAGATGCGCCTCCAGCCAGGTTCCTGATGGATTCTCACCTTCTGCACTGACTCCCCGGGGCCCAGCCCCGTCTGACTGCCTATCATATTCCTACCTACTTAGCTGTCTGTCATAGGAAAATGGAAGTTAAGAGTAAGAAGAGTTTATTGACAGAAAGATAGCTTCTGTCTAACAGCGGCTGAAGGGGGCCCAAGAAGTGGGCCCTCGCTTCTGAAGGGTGTTTTATTGAGCAAAGCCATGAGGTGAGGCGGGTTCAAGGTGGGACAGAACTATAGTCAACTAATAAGATTACAAATATACTCTCTTATGGAATATGGATCCAATGGGAAGTCACATAGTGGGTGTGAGGTGGGACAAAACTATGGGGAACCAACGAGATTACAAGTGTAGTCGCTTAGGTAATATTGATTAAATGGGGAAGCAAGTCACATAGCCAGGCACAGGCACCTAACAAGGGTAAAGGAAGGGGCTAGGGAGGTTTTAATCCCCCACCCAAGGTGATTGATGCCTATTTAGAATATCAATCACTGCTGTTCATCCCTAGGGAAAGTGTGGGGGTGTAGTCGGTCCTCTTTTCCTCAAAGCCTGGCCCTCAGTGAATGTGCCTCTGGCACCAGTGTCTTCTGTGTGGAGGGCCCAGCCCTATCTAACTGCCTTTAATATTTATAACTAACTTAGCTGTCTAGTCCTGTGGGGACTGAGTCAGTGAGCCAATGCCGGGCCTCAGAATTGCAGTGGGAAAACCTGCTTTCCTTTCTCCTCTCAGCTAGGTGAGCGGTGGTACAAGCCAGGTTGCAAAGAACTCTGTGTCTGTCAAAGGAAGCGCATTTACTGCCGGCCCTGGAAGTGTCGGGCCCAGGAGGCCTGTGGCCACCAGAATGGCCGGTATGGCTGCTATGCCCAAGGTGAGTGGCCAGGGGGAAGCTGATCAAGCGCCCTCAGCAGGGAGAAGGCCCTGCCACAAGCAGCTGTGTGTTTGTCAGCTTTCCATGACTGTAACACATACCTGAGATTTATCAGTTTATAAAGAGAAAAGGTTTACATTGCCTCACAGTTCTGGAGGTTTCTGACAACTTAAAGGAAGGGAAGTTTATTCTGGCTCCCATTTTTAGCCCATGGCCAGCCAGTTCCAAGGCAGAAAACAGGAGAGAGCTGCTTACCTCAGGGCAGCGAGGAAGCAGAGAGAAAGGAGGAGCCTGGGAGGGAGGTGACCCCTGCAGGGCCACCCCCAGGGACCGCCGCCTCAGGACAGACCCCAGCTCCTAACAGCAAATCGGAGATAGATTCAAGCACATTCCCAAAGGCCCGCCTCTGAGCCCATGAAGCCTTGGGGGACATTTCTGATGTAAACCTTAAGTGTGCACAGCACATGGCAAAGACACTCAGCTCATGGCTGGGACGTGAAGCAGAGGCAGAGAGGCCAGGGCACAGTCCCTCTGGAGACAAACCGGCTCCCAGTGCCCACGACCTTGGGAGCAGCCTCCTTAAGGGCTCAGGGAGGGGTGTGGGTGAAGCACTCCCCCTGCTTGACATCCCCAAGCCAAGCCAAGCCAAGCGTGCTTTCTCGAGGAGGGCCCCTAGGCGCCACCCAACATGGGCTCGCCAAGATGGCACCCCTGGGTCAGGGCTCCCACAGTGCAGGGCGCTGAGCCTCTGAAGCCTGTCCCCTCCTCCCCAGGTTCCGCCACCTGCACTGCCTTGGGCGACCCCCACTACCTGACATTCGATGGAGCCCTGCACCACTTCCTAGGCACCTGTACTTACACCCTGACCCAGCCTTGCTGGTCCAGGTACCCGGAGAACCACTTTGTTGTGAGCGCCACCAACGAAATCCGCGGTGGGAACTTGGAAGCCGCCTACGTCAAAGCCGTCCACGTGCACGTCTTAGATCTCAAGATCTCGCTCATCAAAGGCCGCAGGGTCATGGTGTGTGCCGCTCCTGCCTCCCAGACCCCACACCGCCCAGCACATGGTCCACACAAGCAGCTATCAGCCTCCTAACGCCCCTGGGGATGTGCTGTACCCCTCTTGCTCTGTGAAACACCCACTACTCCTCCTCCCCTAGGTTTGGTTTCTTTGTTTCTCCAGCGCTGGGCCTTTGCACTGAGCTACATCGCTATCCCATATTCTAAGACAGGGTCTCACTAACTTGCCCAGTCTAGGCTCAACTTAGGATCCTCCTGCCTCAGCCTTCTAGAGTGCTAAGGTTACAGGCATGCATACCACACCCAGCCGACCCCAGATTTCTGCCCCCATGTGGTCTGTGTCCCAAGTTCCTCACTCTTTCTACTGTCTTCCCACCCCCACCTCTACAGCTGAATGGCCATCTGGTGGCCCTCCCTGTGTGGCTGTCACAAGGCCGGGTGACCGTTAGGCTCAGTGGCTCCTTTATCCTGCTGTACACGAACACTGGGCTTCAGGTTCGCTACGACGGGAACCACCTGGTGGAGGTGACGGTGCCCTCCTCCTATGCCGGCCAGCTCTGCGGGCTCTGCGGTGAGCTCTCAGAGTGCCTGCGGGAAGAGCAGGGGTGAGGGGCACATGCGACTGGGTCCTGGTCCCCGTCCATTCCCACATCTGCACTGGGTGCCCTAACTCCTTGTCATTGATGCATCAGTTGGGGACCCTGCGTGTCAGGGTAGGTGCTGAGGGAAGCCAGCGATGCGGGGTTTGGTGGTGCAGGCCTGTCATCCCAGCACTCTGGGAGGCTGAGGCAGAACGATCAAAAGTTGGGGCTGGGGATTTAGCTCAGTGGCACAGCACCTGCCTGGCAAGCGCGAGGTCGTGAGTTCGATTCCCGGTACCGGAAAAAAAAAAAAGAACAATCAAAAGTTGGAGCCCAGTCCAGGCAATGTAGTGACTTAGAGAGACCCTGTCTCAAAATACAAAATAAAAAAGGGCTGGGATGTAGCTCAGTGTGAGGGTCCTGGGCTCCATCCCCAGTACTGCAAAAGAAAAAAAAGAAGAAGAAAGTGCCAGTCAGTCTTGATGTGCCGAGCAGGTGTCAGTGAGAAGCCCCTCCTCTGGTCAGGAGGGTGGTGGCCCTGGGCTGGTGAACCAGTGGCACCTCTGCCGCCTTCCCCCACTGCCTGCTCCTGCAGGGAACTACAACAACAACAGCATGGACGACAACCTGCGCCCAGACAGGAAGCCCGCGGACAGCTCCTCCCAGCTGGGCGCTGCCTGGACGTCCTCGCAAGACTCTGAGCCCGGGTGAGCCGGGGACAGGGACCTGGGCAGAGCCTGGGGGGCTGGAGGTGTCTGTCTTCTGAGTCCCCACTCTGTCTGTGCTGTAGCCCCCACTGCTAGGAAACCGGCCAGCTGTCTCCTCTTGACTCTCTCTGAGAGTGGAGATTTTTTTTTTTTTTTTTTTTTTGGTCTTTTTGGGACATGGTTTCTCTCTGCAGTCCAGGCTGGCCTTGAGCTCACTTTGTAGCCCAGGCTGACCTCGAACTCCCAACGATCCTCCTGCCTCAGCTTCCTGAGTGCTGGAATTACAGGTGTGTGCCACCATGCCCTGCCTTGGAGATGTTTTTGTGTGTTTTTGTTTTATGGGTTGCCTTTTTTCTCTTCTCTTTTTTTTTTTTGGTTTTTCTCCGGTACCGGGAACCGAACCCACGACCTTGCGCTTGCCAGGCAGGCGCTTTGCCGCTGAGCTAAATCCCCAGCCCCTTTTTTTTCTCTTCTCTCTCTCTTTCTTCCTCCTTCTCTTTTTCTCTCTGTCCCTCTCTCTCTCTCTCTTTTTTTGTAATCCCCCTTAAATTTCCCAGGCAAGGTTCAGACTTTCAAACCTCCTGTCTCAGTCCCTAGAGTGCTAGGATTACAGGTGTGCACTACCACACTCTGCTGAATATTTTTTCTTTTTTTTTTTTTCCCGTACCAGGAATCGAACTCACGACCTCACGCTTGCCAGGCGGGTGCTGTGCTGCTGAGCTAAACCACCAGCCCCTATTTTTTCTTTTTGGTGGTGGTTGTTTTTGCTTTGCTTTGTTATTTTGAGACAGGGCCTCCCTATGTAGTTCAGGCTGGCCTTGAACTCAAGGTAATCCTCCTACCTCAGCCTCCCAAGTGCTAGGATTACAGGGCTGGGGATATAGCTCAGCGGTCACAGCTCCTGCCTGGCAAGCGCATGGTACTAATTTGATTTCTGGTGCCAAAAAAAAAAGTGTACCAAGGTCTAGGATTACAGGTGTGTGCCACCATGCCCAGCACTGGCTAGATTTTGAAAAGCCTGTTTTCCCTCACTTAATGACCCCACTGGCGCGTCCACTTGGGAAATCTAGCCTTGTTCCTTCCTGCTTGAGGGTGCTGTTTCCTTCTCTTCCCTTGAACCCTTTCAGTTTGGGGGTCGGTTCCTCCGTTTCATTTTGTATCCTTTCCTCCCAGCTGCTTCCTAGTGGGGGCCGAGCCCTCCAGCTGTCCTGAGGATGATGACAGGGTGGACGCCTGGAGTAAGAACTGTGAGATCCTGATGAACCCTCTAGGTAAGACACAGCCTTGCTGCCCAAACGTTGTCCTCCTCCCTGGGGACAGGAGATGATGGTGCGCGTCTGTAATCCCAGTTCTCAGGAGGCTGAGGCAGGAGGATCGATGCAAGTTCGAGGCCAGCCTGAACTACATATTGAGCCCTTGTCTTAAAAAAAAAAAAAAAGAAAAAATTCAGCAACTAAATAAATCAGTCTGGCTTTTGGAGGAAATGGACACTAAATAAACTGCACAGAAGCGTGTGGGCTTACCCTTCTCTCTCCCTGTCCTCCAGGGCCCTTCTCCAACTGCCACCAGCTGGTGCAACCGCAGGCCAGCTTCACCAGCTGTGTGCAGGGCCAGTGTGACACCCAGGGTGACAGCCTGGCGCTGTGCCGCTCCCTGCAGGCCTATGCATCCCTGTGTGCCCTGGCTGGCCAGGCTCCTGCCTGGCGCAACAGTACCTTCTGCCGTAAGTGACCCGACTGCTTCTCCTGCTGCCCGGAGGGAGCCCCCAAACCCCAGCCCCTCCTCCTGTCAGCCCTGTTCCTCTGCCTGCACAGCTCCCACCCTTCCCAGGGCCTTGACCCCAGCTCCTGGGGCCCAGCCTATCACCTGCTGTCTCCTGTGCCTGGGGCTCTGCCCTCTGACTCTCATGTCATCAGAAAGTCTGCTTTCAGCTGGGCATGATGGCACATAGCTGTTATCCTAGCACTGAAGGAGGCTGAGGCAGGAGAATCTCAAATTCAAGCCCAGCTTAGGCAATTTAGAGACTTAGAGGCCCTGTCTCAGAAAATCAAAGGGCTGGGGATGTAGCTAATTATGAAGGCCCTGGGTTCAGTTCTTAGAAACACACACACACACACACACACACACACACACACACATACACACACTTTTACCTATTTACTGCCTCCTTCCACTTTTACCTAGGCCAGCTCTGTTCCCTTCCTCTTTTCCCCAGGTATTTTTTTAAATTGTGGCAAAATATATGTAACATAGCTAGGAATAGTGGCACACTCCTGTAATCTCAGCACTTGGGAGGCTGAGGCAGGAGGATTGTCATGACTTTGAGGCCAGCCTGGGCTGCATAGTGAATTCAAGGCCAGCCTGCACTACACAGTGAGACCTTGTCTCAAAAAAAAAAAAAAAAAAGTCCAAATATCAAATCTGTTCTTTTTTTGCGGTACTGCACATCGAATCCAGGGCCTTTACACTGAGCTACATCCCTATCCCTTTTAGAATATATTTTGTCTCTTTTCCTTTTTTTTTTTTTTTTTTTTTTTTTTTTTTTTTGGTTTTTTTCCAGTACCTGGAGTCGAACTCACGACCTCGCACTTGCCAGGCAGGCACTGTGCCACTGAGCTAAATCCCCAGCCCCTATTTTGTCTCTTGAGACAAAGTCTTGCTAAGTCATTCAGTTGCCCACACTGAGCTGGAACTTGCAACCCTCCTGCCTCAGCCTTCCAGGTATGGATCACCATGCCTGGCCATCCTTCCTTTGTCAGCTGAGTAACAGCCCATTGCCTGGACAGACCACATAGGATGTGTCTGTCCCCCCGTCAGGGGCCATTCCGAAGAGCCCTCGAAGACCCCAAGGTCTGCAGCTGAAATGCCACGCTGCTCTTCCTAACACCCGTGTCCCTTTTAGCTCCGAGGTGTCCTCCCAACAGCAGCTACAGCCCCTGTGCCAGGCCCTGCCCGGCCACCTGCCTCAGCATGAGCACCCCCGAGGACTGCCCAGCAGCGCTGCCCTGTACCGAGGGCTGCGAGTGCCAGAAAGGCTACGTCCTGAGCGGAACCTCCTGCGTGCCCCTCAGCCAGTGCGGCTGCCTGGAGCCCCAGGGCTTCTACCACCCGGTGAGCGGCCAGCCGGCAGGGGGAGCCCTTCCTGTCCCAGCTGCAAGCGTGGGGGTGTGGACAAGCTCAGGCCAGACAGCCAGAGGGCTCAGAGCTCTGGAAGGCGTCGGGCAGACCTGGGCTGGCAATGAGGTCCAGGGCAGAGAGGTAGAGATGGGGGCACCCATCAGACACAGGAACCCCCCCGGGTTCTGGGAGGGCCCTGCCCACTTCTGGTTTCCCAGGCCCTGTGGGCCCTGCTGATCCCAGTAACCCACAGGTTGGGGAGAGCTGGTACCCAGAGAGGACCTGCACCTCCCGCTGCACCTGCTTCGTCCACAACAACATCACTTGCCGCCAGGCCGCCTGCCAGGAGGACGAGGTGTGCTGGCTCCACGATGGGCTGCTCAGCTGCTGGGCCCCAGGTAGGAGCTCACAGTGCGAGGGGGCCTACACTCTCCCCTGCAGCATGCAAAAGGGCACCTCGAGGTTCACCCACCGTCCTAGCTATTTCTATTTGACATCAGAATGCCCGAGACTGGGTGATGTATCTAAAAAGGATGCGTGTGTGTGTGTGTGTGTGTGTGTGTGTGTGTGTGTGGTGCTGGGGCCTATGCACGCAGTTATAGCCCCACACACACCTTTTTTTTTTTTTTAAAGGGAGGAAAGGCTTATTTAGCATATGGGTTTCAGTCCATAATCAGCTGGCTCCAAAGCAGGTTGGCACATGGCAGAGGGTGACAGTGTTCAGGGCAGTGGAAGATGGCAAAAGCAACAAGAGCAAAAAGGGGGGCCCCACACATCTTTTATTCTGAGGCAGGGTCTCGCTAAGTTGCTAAGTTGCCCAAGGCGGGCTCGAACTTTGAATCCTCTTGTCTCAGCCTCCCAGAGTGCTGGGATTCCATGGCAGAACGGGGGTGTCTCATGAGAGACCAAACTGACCTTCATATGGACCCAGTTTTCTGATACCTAACCCACTCCTTCAACAACCCATGAATCCATTACTCCATGGAGAGAGAAATGCATTTGAGAGGGCAGAGTCCTCACCACTCTGTCGCTTCTGTGTTGGTCAGCTTTTGGTTGCTGCGACAGAATATCTGAGAATAACAATTTAAAGGAGAAAAGGTTTGTTTAGGCTCATGGCTTCAGAGATTTCAGTCCATGTCACCTGATTCCATTGCTTCTGGGCCTGTGGTGAGGCAGAGTCTTCAAGGTAGGACCGTATGGAAGCAGAGCTGCTCACCACATAGCGGCCAGAAAGGAGAGAGGAGAAGGCACCAGGGGCAAGAACAGGGTGTGATCTAAAAATATGGTAAATTTTCAATTTAAAAAATTATTACAGTAAAAGACACACTGCCAGGAATTCCCCTTAAAACCCTCCCCCTTGCGTCGAACACATCATTCTTGCCACTTTCTGAAGCAGTTCTGAAAATCCTCTTTCCTGAGTGTCTTTAGCTCAGATGCCTCTATACCCCAAGTGGATTGAAAACATTGACCTTTCATGGTCATTTTGACTTGGGGGAAAGGCTAGTGGGTAAGGTGGATGAGGACACAGTGTCATGTTGTCACGAGCCTGCCTCTCTCTTGGATGGCACTGAACAGCAGCATTCACTGTATTTTTTATCACACTTGGGAAAGACTCACAAAAGAGAACTTTTTTTTTTTTTTTTTGGTGTTTTTCGGGTACCAGGAATCAAACTCACAACCTCACGCTTGCCAGGCAGGCGCTGTGCTGCTGAGCTAAATCCCCAGCCCTCTAAAGAGAACTTCTAGAGCTGTTTCAGAAAGTGGTGGAAGCCAGGCATGGTGGCTCATGTCTAATCTCAGCACTGGGGAGGCTGAGGCAGGAGGATCGCTGTGAATTTGAGGCCAGCCTGGACTACAAAGTGAGTTCAAGGCCAGCCTGAACTACATAGCGAAACCCTGTCTCAAAAAGACAAAAACAAAGAGAAAGAAAGAAAATGATGGGAAGAGTGAAGTGTGTTGGAGGGAAGGAGGGAGGAGGGTGTTGAGGGGGGTTGATGGCAGCGTGTCTTTCACCGTAATAAACTTACCAAATGTAAGCGTTCAGCGCATATTTTGTTACCTACTGCACAGCTTTGGAAGAAGCCCCTGAAGCGCCCTCCCTCCTGCTCCTGGGCCCCTCCTCCCAACAGCCCCCGCAGCTGGGAACTCATCCACAGAGCGGCCGCGTGCTGAGGCCGGCACCCCGAGATCCACAGTCACCTCTACAGGCCCCACTGTAGAACACTGCTGCTTTGGGGTTCAAGCCCTCCAGCCATGAGTCTTTGGGCAGTATTTTATATGCAAACTACAATATACCCCAAAGGCCCCCCCTGGAAACCCCATCACCGTACCACTTTTGGATTAAGTTTCTAACACAGGAAATGGGGGCAGGGAACATCCAAGCCATAGACCTGTGTTTCTCCCGCAGCGACCCGAAGGTGATGAGCTCTTATTGTTCACACCCCTGCCCCTGGCCACACGCCAGCTGGCCCTTGGGCCTTGGGACTTCTTCCGGATTTTCCTGGCTGTCCCTCTTTCCCCACTCCTGGGGCTCCCTGGCCTTTTCCAGGCGGGGAGAATGCAGGGCCCCGTCTCCCCAATGTGGGCCCACCCCTCAGCCGGCTCTCACCCCCAGGCGCAGGCGTCTGCAGGGCCTCGGGGGATTCCGAGTACGTGGCCTTCGATGGCAGTACGCACCTGGTCCAGGACACCTGCCCGCACATCCTGGTGAAGGTGTGTCACCCTAACATGGACCTGCCTGTCTTCAAGATAAGTGCCAAGAGCGAGGGCAGAGCAGGGGCCTTCGGCCTCCGCCAGGCCTATATCGACGTCGCCGATGCCCGGGTCACTCTGCAGGAGGGCCATCTAGTGCTGGTGAGCTGGGCCTGGTGACAGGCCCTGGAGAGAGGCGTGAGTTCTGGGGAGAGGACTCTGGTCTTCCTCCTCCTCACGGATGCCGCCCTCCCCTTCAGATCAATGGCACACTTGTCACCCTTCCTGCCACCTCCCAGATCACAGGGCTCAGCATCACCTCCAGCAGCATCTACACCATAGCGCACCTGCAGCCTGGCGTGCAGGTCAAGTTTGACGGCCGTCATTTCTTAGAGATCAAAATCCCCATGGCCTATTACGGAAAGGTGAGGACGATACCAGCTCTCGGTGGGGGAGGCGGCCTGGGGTGGGGTGGGGCGGCATCCCCATCTCCCCACACCAGAGATGTCAAGCGCACCTTTCTTGGGGAGAGGGGAGTGTTAAACAATGCCCTTGGGAGCTGGCCAAGGTGGCACATACCTGTGATTCCAGCACTCGGGGAGGCTGAGGCACGAGGAGCTTAGTTTGGAGCCCAGGCTGAGCAACTTAACAATTCAGTGAGACCCTGCCTCAAACTAAAAAAGAAAAAATGTTGGGGTTGTAACTCAGTAAGAAGGCCCTGGGTTCAGGCACCAGTACTGCAAAAAAAAAAAAAAAAAAAAGCCTTTAAGCGTCCCGGAGCTGAGAACCCTGTGCCCACCTAGGTTTGCGGCGTGTGTGGGGACTTCGATGGGGAGGAGGAGGAAGATGATCTGTTGATGCCCAATGATGAACCAGCCCAGGATGACCACGAGTTCATGGACAGCTGGAAAGACAAGGACACTGACTCAGAGTAACAGTCCCCTAGGACTTCCTCCTTGTTGTGACCGAGGGAACAGGCAGGCACTGCAGGCCACATCTGGGACAGGAAGAGCAGGGAGGGGTCCCTTCAGAGCTGTGGTTTGAGGAAGGAGGCTTCTGGGCTTCAGGGTTGATGCGACCAACTTGAGGAAGTAGGAAATTCCCTCTCTGCTTAGAAATGCAGGAGGGGAAAACCAAAGAAAAGAAAAGAAAAAGAAACCCAAGCGTGGTGGCGAAAAGCTATAATCCCAGCACTCAGGAGGCTGAGGCAGGAGGATTGCCATGAGTTTAAGGCCAGCCTGAGCTACAAAGTGAATTCAAGGGCAGTCTGAACTGCATAGTAAAAAAATAAAAATACAAAAAAATAAAAAATAAACTGCGTAGTGAAACCCTGTCTCAAAAAGAAAAGGTGCTTGGGCTGGTGATGCACACCTTCATCCAAGCACACTTTGGGATGCTGAGACAAGCAGATCACAAGTTCAAATGCAGCCTGGGAAACTTTGTGAAACCCTGTCTCAGAATTAAAAACAAAAACAAAAACAAAAAACAAACAGCAGGATTAGCTCAGTGCAAAGGCCCTGGGGTTCATTCCCCAGTACAAAAGAAAAAAGAAACAAAGAGAGGAAGGAAGAGAAGGAAAGAAAAGAACCCAATGAGGAGATGAGGCCATGTGCAGAATTGTCCTCAGCTCAGACCAGCTTCCCATGAAGAAGACAAGGGCCAGGAGTCCTCAAGGTTCTCTCAGGGTCACTTGAGAGCAGCATATCACTGTCGTAGGTGGCTTGGTGGCTGTACCTACACTGATGCCTTTGCTTTTCTTGCCAGCTGCCAGGAGGAACACGAGCAGGGAGAGCAGACCCTGAACACAGACTGCAGGCCGGCTGACCTCGAGACGGCGCAGGGGCACTGCCGGGCGGCCCTGCGGACTCCAGCCTGGGCCAAGTGCGCTGCCCGCGTGGCCCTTGAGCCCTTCCTGCTAGACTGCGCGCACAAACTCTGTGAGTTTGGAGGCCTCAGCCAGGTGCTGTGTGAGGCCCTGCAGGCTTTCGGGGCCGCCTGCCAAAGCCAGGGTATCAGGGTCCCGCTCTGGAGGAACACCAGCTTCTGCCGTGAGTGTCCCCCTGTCACCCCAACCTCCCTAGCCATGTTCCTCCTGGAAGCTCCTTCGGTCTCTTTTCAGGCTGTCCCTGACCCACCTTTATTCCTACCTCTGCTCACCCCCACCCCGACATTCCTCCTCCTCCTTCTGCAGTACTGGGGATTAAACGTAGGGTCTTTTCCCTGAACTACATCCCCAGCCCTTTCGATCTTTTGAGACAGGGTCTCACTAAATTGCCCAGTCTGGGCTTGTACTTGTGATCCTCTTGCCTCAGCCTCCTGAGTGCTGGGATTATAGGCATGTGTCTCCACACCTGGTTTCCATTACTATATTATATCATAATTTGTCTTTTCTTTTGTGGTGCTGGGGAATGAATTCAGGACTTCATATTTGCTAGGCAAGTGTTTTATATCTGAGGCACACCCCCACCCTATCATAATTTATTTCACTGCTTTTTTTTTGGTGGGGGGGCTCTTTTCTTTTTTGGTTTTGTTTTTGGTATTTTTGAGACAGGGTCTCATTATGCAGTTCAGGCTGGCCATGAGCTCACTTTGTAGCCCAGGCTGGTCTCGAAATCACAACAATCCTCCTGCCTCAGCTTCCCGAGTGCTGGGACTACAGGCGTGTGCCACCACGCCCTGCTCTTTTCTTGGCCTTTTTTTTGTTTGTTTGTTTGTTTTGTTTTGTTTTGTTTTGTTTTGTTCCGGTACTGGGAATTGAACTCACGACCTTGCGCTTGCCAGGCAGGCGCTGTGCCGCTGAGCTAAATCCCCAGCCCTCTTGGTCTTTTTTGAAACGGTTTCACTGTGCAGTTCAGGCTGGCCTTAAACTCACTTTTTAGCCCACGCTGGCCTCGAACTCTTAGTGATCCTCCTGCCTCAGCCTCCTGACTGCTGGGATTACAGCCATGTGCTACCACACCCCAGCTCCCTAGACATGTTTTAAAAAGTTTTGAGACAGAGTCTTGCTGAATTGCCCAGGCTGGGCTTGAACTTGGAATCCTCTTGCCTCAGCCTCCTTGAATGCTGAGGTTATTATCAAGCTACCATGCATGGCTGCATTTGTACTTTTGAGAGATATCTCTAAATGACCTTCCAGAGGGTTGAAGGATTTACATCTTTATAAATTCCATCATTTTAGCTGGGCATGGTGGTGCATGCCTGTAATCCCAGCACTTGGGAGGCTGAGGCAGGAGGATCATTTCGAGTTCGAGACCAGCCTGGGCTACAAAGTGAGCTCAAGGCCAGCCTGAACTGCACAGGGAGACCCTGTCTCAAAAAAAAAAAAAAAAAAAAAAAAAATTCTAAAATGTGTTTTATTGTTTAAGGCCCGCCTGGACTGCATAGCAAGACCCTGTCTCAAAAAAACTAAGAAAAGCAAGTATTTTAATTTTGTTTTGTTTTGTTTTGTCTTTCTGAGACAGGGTCTTGCTGTGCAGTTCAGGCTGGCTTTCAGCTCACTTTGTAGCCCAGGCTGGTCTCAAACTAGCAACAATCCTCCTGCCTCAGCTTCCTGAAGTATTTTAATTTTTGATAGGGCTGAAGAGATAGCTCAGCACCTGCCTGGCAAGTGCAAGGTCCTGAGTTTGATTCCCAGTACCAAAGAAAAAAAGTTTTTGATAGACATACCTCACTAATCACTATTCTTTTTCAAATTTTTCCTAACCTTTCTAATTTGCTTATATTTTCACTGCATCTTCAAAATCACTGTATTCTATTAAACACACACACACACACACACACACATACACACACCCTGTTGGTCTGTTTTATTGGGTTCATATTAATGAATGTTTCATGTGTTCACAACTTCTTTCCCTTAAAGACTTTTTTTTAGTCAGTACTAGGGGTTGAACCTAGGGCATTAACACTGAGCTACATCCCCATCCTTTCTTCATTTTAAAATTTTGAGGGGTTGGGACTGGGGATATAGCTCAGTGGCACAGCACTTGCCTGGCAAGCACAAGGTCATGAGTTCGATTCCTGGTACCCCCCCAAAAATAAAATAAAATAAAATAAAATAAAATAAAATTTTGAGACAGGGTCTCACCAAATCACTAAATTGGACTCAGATTTACCATCTTCCTGCCTCAGCCTCCCGGGTGCTGGGATTGCAGGTGTGCACCACATGCTCTCCCCCACAGAGTGAACCCCTGTGTGCTCTGCGCCCTTTACATCCGCACACCGACCTCTGCACAGGCCAGGGTCCGAGGTAGCTCCCGGCAGCCAGGCTCGGTCCGTGCTGACTCGGGAGTCTTTCCCAGCCCTTCCTCTGCTCAGGGCCTGGCTCGCAGCCCCTGCTCCCCAACTGTTTTTGGGATGGAGAAGGAAAGGAAGAAGCGCCAGGCTCCACCCCAGCCTGGTTTCGGGCCCCTCTGGGCCTCACCGCTCACCCACGCCCCTGTGCCTGCAGCTCTGGAGTGCCCGGCACACAGCAGCTACACCTCCTGCACTCCCTCCTGCCCGCCGTCCTGCTGGGACCTGGATGGCCACTGCGAGGGCGTCAAGGTCCCCTCCACCTGCACCGAGGGCTGCGTCTGTCAGCTCGGCTACGTGCTGAACGAGGACAAGTGTGTGCCCAGAAGTCAGTGTGGGTGCAAGGACGCCCAGGGCGGCTTTATCCCCGTGAGTGGACAAGCACAGTGGGGGGGACACAGCCCTTGAGGACAGTCTTCCACAGCCAGGCGCCCTGCCTTGAGGCTGGTCCTGGGGAACTAGGGCTAGGGTCCAGGGTTTGGCTTTGGGACACAACGGGGCAGAGTGCAAAGGTCAGGGCCTTGGTGCCTCACTTTCCTCATCTGCACAATGAGTGGCACTGCCTGGACAGATAAGTAAGATACCAAGCACAGCGCCTCACAGGGGACGTAGGGATATAGAGCTCCAGTGGCACTGTTAACTGCCTTTGGCCAGGACACTTTACTTCTGTCCTTGGGTTTCCACAGGGGCAGCTGGTTCCAGCACCCCTCAGGGAGGCTGAGTTCCCTGTGTAAAATGGCCTAGCATTTACACAGGACCTTCACATGTTTTCCTGCAGACTTTAAATCATCTGTAGGTGACTTGTAATAGCCAGTACAATGGCCAGCCTGGGCTACATAGTGAGTTTAAGGCCAGCTTGAACTACATAGTAAGACTCTTGTCTCAGAAAGAAAGAAAAAAGGAAAGAAAGAAAGAAAGAAAGAAAGACTGTATATGTTCAGTACAGGGACAATTTTTTTCTTTTCTTTTTTTTGTCTTTTTGAGACAGGGTCTCTCTATGCAGTTCAGGCTGGCCTTGAGCTCACTTTGTAGCCCAGGCTGGTCTCAAACTCACAACAATCCTCCTGCCTCAGCCTCCTCAGTGCTGGGATTACAGGCATGCACCACTATGCCTAGCTTTTCTTTTCTTTTTCCTTTCCTTTTTTTTTTTTTTTTTTAAGACAAGGTCTTGCTTTGTAGTGCAGGCTGGTCTTGAATTTACTATGTACCCCCAGTTGGCCTCAAACTTGCAGCAATCCTCCTGCCTCGGCCTTCTGAGTGCTAAGATTATAGGCATGCACCACCACACTCGGCTAAAATTTTTTTATTCAAGGACAAGTTCCTAGCCAGCCTGGTGTGGTGCATACCTGTAATCCCAGCACTCGGGAGGCTGAGGCAGCAGGATCACTGGGAGTCTGAGGCCAACCAGGGCTACAAAGTGAGTTCAAGGCCAGCCTGAGCTGCATAATGAAACCCTGTCTCAAAAGGACAAAAATAAAACAAGAAAAATAAAGACAAGTTCCCATTAATTTCCTAAGTTTCCCAGGCTGGGCTTGAACTTGTGATCATCCTGCCTCAGCCTCCCAGTGCTGGGCTCACAGGTGTGCATCACCACACCTGACCTCCCTCCCTCTCTCCTCCAATGGCTCCTACAGGCAGGCAAGACCTGGATCTCCAGCAGCTGCACCCAGAGCTGCACCTGCTCTGAAGGAAGCGTTCAGTGCCGGGCCTTCCACTGCCCTCCTGGATCCCACTGCCAGGACAACGAGGATGGGGACACCAACTGCGCCCCCAACAGTAGGAAGCTGGTGGGGGGCGGTGGCCAGCAGGGCCAGCAGGGACTCAGCCTGGCTTTAAACTGGGGCTCACACCAACCACTGCCACGTTCAAATTACTGAGCTCTGGTGTACCCGACCTTAAGGACAAAAAGGGACAGGACGAGAAGATCCGAAGTCAGGGTTAGCAGGCCCGGAGAGGGGAACGCTGCAGAACAAGCACCCAGGAGCCGGGCCAAGGAGGGGGGCAGACTCCAGGGACGTATGTCTGGCGTGATACCCACTCTGTGCTTCCCTTCCTGGCAGGGTCCCAACACTGCTCTGTCTTCGGGGACCCACATTACCGCACATTTGACGGCCGCAGCTACCACTTCCAGGGCCGCATGACCTACATCCTGGTGAAAACAGTGGACGTGCTCCCCGACGGCATGCAACACCTGGTCGTGGAGGGGCGCAACAAGATATACTCACCCATGAGCCAGGTTTTCCTGCATGAAGTGATCACCACCATCTATGGTTACAAAGTTCAGTTCCAGAAGGATCTGGTGCTGCTGGTTAGTAAAAGGTGGCCCAGGGCCGGGAGTGGTGGTGCAGGCCTGCTATCCCAGCGCTCTGGAAGGCTGAGGCAGGAGGATCCTAAGTTCAAGTCTCACCTGGGCGATCTAGTGATTTAGGGAACTCAAAATAGAAAAATGAAAAACGGGCTGGGGATGTAGCTCATTGTGAGGGTGCTGGGTTCAACCCCCAATGCTACCAAAAAAAAAACCCAAACTAAAACAAAACAAAACAGGTAGGGAGAAGTGGGCCAAGCCAGGCAATCAGCTGCTCCTGTGCTCCCTCTCCAGGTCAACAGTCAGAAGATGGCCGTGCCCTACAGGCCCAACGAGCACCTGCGGGTCACCCTGCGCGGCCAGCGGCTGTATCTGATCACAGACTTCGAGCTGGTGATCAGCTTCGACGGAAGCAGCACAGGTACCCGAGAGAGGCGTGTGGCGAGCAGGAGGTGCTTTTGTGGGGTGGGGAGGCAGAGGAGCCCTCAGACAGGCCACCCATGGGGAGCAAAGCCGTGCCCGGGCAGGGGGTCCCCAGCTCGAGGGGGGCTCACTCCGGGGACCGCCTTTCTCCCGCAGTGATCTCTCTGCCCAGCATGTACCAGAGGCTGGTGCGCGGCCTGTGCGGGAACTATGACAGCGACCGCAGGAACGACTTCATGCTGCCCAACGGGGCGCTCACCCACAGCATCAGCATCTTCGGCAGAAGCTGGGAGGTGAAACACAAGGATGCCCTCCTCCACTTCCGGAGGTGAGGCCGGGGCTGAGAGACCGGGACAGAGCACAGCCGTCCGCTCTGGTCCTCCCCATACACCTGCTCCATGGAAAGCCCTGTCCACGCCCTTGGCCTCTCTCCCCAAGTTTGGCACCCTCCAGGCCTTGGCTTCTCTGCTCCAGGGCCCTCCAGGAAGAGGAGGAAGAGGAAGACTCACGCTCCCAAGCAGGGTCCCGGTGCAGCCCAGAGCAGCTGGCGCTCATCAACGGCACGCAGGCCTGTGGGGTGCTGGGGGACCCCCGGGGCCTCTTTGCTGCCTGTCACCACACTGTGGCCCCAGAGCCCTTCCAGGAGTGAGTCAAGGGTCCCGGACATGGGGGAAGGGCCCAGCCGGCTTGGCCTTCAATGTGTCCACTCGGGTGATGGTGATACCCTCCAGCTTGGCATGGTCCACTTCCTTCTCCCCCTCACCCCACCTCGGCCCGGGGTCTTTCTGTTCGGGCTACAGGCCCTTTTCTCCTGGCCTTCCTGCCCCTGACGGTCCCCCTCCACCCCAGGCACTGTGTGATGGATCTGTGTACCACTCGGGACCCCACAGAACAAGAGGAACTCCGATGCCGGATCCTCAGTGGGTACGCCATTCTCTGCCAGGAGGCAGGTGCCAGCCTGGCTGGCTGGCGGGACCACACCCGCTGCGGTGAGGCACTGGCCCTGCTGGCCGTTCCACCCCTGCCCAGGTCTTCTCCCACCTCGTCTTCACCCGAGGCTTCCTGTCTTGTTTCTTCTGTCCCTCATCCCTTGTTCCTCTATCACAGCCAGTTTGAGGCCGGGCCTCTATCCAGCCCGACTGCTTCTCCACCCTTCCTGGAGGACTCCTCCTGCCTGTCACCCCATCCTGCGTCTCCTGTTGCACACTCCATCTTTGTTTTGTTTTGTTTTGTTTTGTTTGAGACAGGGTCTCACTATGCAGTTTAGGCTGACACTGAACTCACTATGTAGCCAGGCTGGCCTTGAACTCATGGCAGCCTTCCTGTCTCAGCCTCCCAGGTGCTGGGATTATAGGCGTGTGCCACCATGCCCGCTAGACACTACATCTTTGCTTATCCAGTTCCTACAAATGTTTCCATGTCCCCGGCTCTCAGATGAAGCCAGGCGGATTATTCTGACTCCCCATCCCCCAGACAACTCTACTTTTGTGTGACCCTGCACCCTCTCCTCCACCTTGGGTCATGATCCCCAAGCCTGGTTGCTGGCCCCAGTTCCTGACCATGCCTCTGTCCCCTCAGCCATGGCATGTCCAGCCAATACCGTGTATCAGAGCTGCATGACACCCTGCCCAGCATCCTGTGCCAACCTGCTGGCCCCTGGAGAATGTGAAGGTCCCTGCGTGGAAGGCTGTGCCAGCCTCCCGGGCTACACCTACAGCAGCACCCAGAGCCTCCCCCTGGCCAACTGTGGCTGCACCACCAACGGTGTCTACTACCAGGTCTGGGCTGGCAGTGGGAGCCCTTGGGGGCTGAGTGCGGATGGAGCCAGAGCCCCACCGACCCTGGCCCTTCCTTCCTAGCTGGGAGACAGCTTCGTGGTTGAGGACTGCTCTCTGCGCTGTACCTGTGCCCGCCCACAGGTCCTGCTGTGCAAGCCCTTCAGCTGCAGCGCTGGGGAGATCTGCACCCTGGCCAACCTCACTCGGGGCTGCTTCCGGGGTAAGCCTGGGCTCCTCCTGCTCCAAGCTGTCCCGAGACCCTGGGGAGGAGCCCCTGGGCCACAGTCATTCTCAGTCACTCTCTGTTCTCTGCCTGGGACTCCCATACTGATGGCAGGAAAGGGCTTATTCCTGTTAGCCGGCAGCCTTGGCCCAATGTCTCCTGTTACCTGGCCTCCAGCACCTGGTGTGAAGCACAGAACCCTCATTTTATGGGTAGTGGACATGGAGTTCAAGCTAGATATGGTGGCGTAGGCCTGTAATCCCCGAACTCTGAGAGGCTGAGGCAGGAGGATCACAATTTCAAGCCCAGCCTGGGCAACTTAGAAACTTAACAAGACCCAGTCTCAAATTTAAAAGCTGAAAAAAGGCTGGGAATGTAGCTCAGTTCAGAAGCCCTGGGTTTAATCCCCAGTACCTTAAAAAAGAGAGGGGTGATAAAAATTTCCCCAGAGTTTAGGGTTATAGTGGGGCTGGGGCCAGCATTGCAGGCCTGACCTCCAGCCAGGCTCTGGTATTCCCTGCTTCCCTCTCTGGGGTCCAGACCCCAGCCGGGTCTCCCACGTTCTGAGTGTCCTCCAGGACCACCCCCCTCCATCCTGCAGAAAGCCCGTGCCTGCAGAACCCCTGTCAGAATGACGGTCGGTGTCAGGAGCAGGGGTCCGGCTTCACCTGCGAGTGTGAACTCGGTTATGGGGGAGACCTCTGCACCGAGCCTCAGAATGTCCCACCCCCCAGGAAGAAAGGTAAGGACCACATCCTGGCTCACGCCCACTGACCAGTGGCACAGAATCATTCTATAGGTATAATATTAAGACATAATATCTGTTATTGTATAGACATAAGTATAACATGTTAGCAGATATACAATATATTGTTCATCTTATTATATGTCACTTATAATATTATAGGGGTCATCTTACCACATGATCTCTAGAGCTAGGTGTGGCAGCACATGCCTATAATCCTACCTTCTGGGAGGCTGAAGCAGAAGGATGGTAAATTCAAGCCCAGCTAGGGCAACTTAGTAAGATTCTAGCAGGGGATATAGTTCAGCGGCATAAGCGCTTGCCTGGCAAGCCTGAGGTCATGAGTTTGATTCCCGGTACCAAAACAAAACACAAACAAACAAACAAAAAAACCAAAAAAAAAAGTTTCTGTCTCAAAGTTAGTTTGGTGTTTTTGTTTTTGGTTTTTTTTTTTTTTTTT